CCGCTGTAACAAATAGCCCAAAAGCTTCAGTCTGCATGTAATAACAAAGCTAAGCAGTGGAGAGTTCTGCTCCGTCCCCAGAGAGATGGGAGGAGGGTGGGGGCGCGCACACACACAATGAAGAGCTGGATGACGCAGCTGAGAAGGGGAAGGGAGGGAGGAATGGATGGAGCAGAATCCTGAACGAGGAGAGGAGGAAGATGAGGAGGAGGTAGAGAGAGGGAGCGTAGGCAGACTGCGTGGGAAGGAGATGCTGCATAATCAGCTTTCTAGGGTTTTCTCCTGCTCTCTTTTTCTCTTTACTTTTTTCACTGTCTTTTTGTTTGTCTGATTGGTACCGGCCCTTTTGTCTCTCTTTGCCATGTCCTTCGTCTCTGCCCTCTATATATATCTGCCTTGTTGTCTTACTCTTCTCAATTTTCACTCTTCTTCTTTCCGTCCTTTTCTCTGGGACTCATTTAGCAGCACAATCTTAGGTGCTTTAATTTCCAGTCTCAATTTGTTGTTTTTAAAAGAACGAAAACTCATCTCATCTTTTTTCCTCATCCATGTGTATATCTATAAGTGCAGACACTACAACTCTAATCGGAGGGCCTGGTATTATTACCACTGTTCTTTCAATTCAGTTTAACTGCATTTTGCTTCTATTTTGTGCATCTCAAGTAGAAAAAAAAGCAATAATTTGGCCTATTATGTCGTTGTGCAATTCACAAAACAACACTGCAATAGTAAAACCCTTTTTAGCTTTATGGCTGTCTAACACACAGCTAAGGTCTGCTCAGTCAACATTATTTCACACTTATCAGCTTTTGGCATCACATTTATTTAGCCTCATATAATAAGTGAGAAGCCGCCTAATCGTGAGCAAAGAGGAACCCGGTGAGTCATCGGCATCTCTCGCACATTCGAACGCCGCCTGGAGCTGCTCAGTTAAAAGGAAATCTGGTGAGAGAGAGGCGGGAGAGGAGAAAATGCGTGGGTGGAGGGGGAACAGAGGAGCAGGTGGTGGTGGTGGTGGTGAAGGGGAACGATGGGAGAGGGATGGAGGGAGGGGGTTTTCCCTTTCAGAAACATCCCTGAATATAGTCTTCTAATACTGGAGGCAGAGCAGGAGGAGGAGATGTGCTGGGGTGGAGGGAGGGGGGTTGCAAAGGCAAATATGTATTCATTCATGTGTGTGATCTTAAATGTGCGATGTGTGGGCTGGTGTGTGAAGCAAGGACACAAAACAGGGAACACCGTCACCATCACTGTTTGTGGTTCCAGACGGTATGAGTAGGGTTTAGTTGTGAATGGACTACCCTGAATAAGTTACTGTGTTTATTTAGTGGAGTGAAGTAACAAACCATGACAGCTGAAGCATCTCATAACATCTGGATTTGTAGGATTTTGTTCTTTGGGGCTAAAGATCAGCATCAATTTTCATGCGAACAAAAACAGCAACGCAGTTACAGAGCAGGAATGCGAACTAAGATATTGGTTAGAGGGGCCATCCTCTTCATAGAAGGTCACAAGTTGAATCCCCACAGCGGCCACTGTCTCAATCAGGAGGCATATAGACCTTCATGGGGACTGCCCATTATTCCGCAATCCCAATAATCTGACAAATATCCCATTGGACTAACAGCCTGTTATCCCAAACCCAAAAGCCAATAGCTCCGAAGGCCAGTTTTTCCAAAAATACACTCTCTACCCCTTAATATCTTATGCATGACAAAATCAGGTGACCTTTGTTGGGTGACCTCCATCATTGTGGTAACAACAGTCGGGTGACTTTCATAGTCATAGTCAGTTGACCATTGTTGTCATGGTAGCAATAATAAATCAGCGGTTGATGTGAAACTGTTGCAGTTTGGTCAATTTGATCAAAACTAATTGATTAGGCTTAGGAAAGGTTATGGTTTGGGTTCAAATAAGCACGTATGCTGCCACAAAAAACACTGAAAATGTGGGTACTTTGGTCATAGCAACATGGTTCCGTCCATATTTAGAATATTCATTAACACAAATTGCCATTTCCCCTACTTTTTGCTGTGATCTCTGCTGCCTAAAACATTTACACTGTTCAATCTTCTCTGTCCTGCTGTTATCACAGACACGTCTGAACTCGCCGCCCCTGCACTCGCCTCCTTCATCAAGCCCTGATATTTAATCCGCAATGGTCTAGAGCTTGTGGGAAATGGTGGTCGTTAAAAGAGTAAAAAAGTAAAGGGATATATACAATAATATTCAATCAATCTTTTATTTTTTTTTACACAGTCAGTTGCCCACTTTCCCTGGCTAAGCCTCCGTACGAGTATCTGCAAAATGTAAATGCGACCTGTTTTTTAATGTAATGATGCAACACAGAGGTTTTCATTCACCTCTACATTGGTATTTCGACACTCGGAGATGGATATGTGAAGTGAAAAGCCCTTAAATGATGCCTCACTGGATTTTCCACACAGCACAGACGATGACGTAATTTCACATACTGAAGGAACCCCCTCTGCAAACTGGCTGACCGTTGAGGTGTCTAGCTCAGGGATTGGCTGGCAGACAACAAAGAGTGATGGGGATAAGGCACAGGATGATGTAAAAGAGTGCAACGACACAGAGAGGCAGTCTGAAACTGTAGCCATCCCCCTCTTTCATAAAAGCTCAGTGTCAGATTCCCCCACCCTTCACCGAATGAATATAGCTTTAGTCGGCAATGTTCACCCTTCGGTCTGTCATTATAAAGTGCAAAGTGATGTGTATTAAATCAGCAGACTTACAGTTATTTCATAGAGGATAACGCATTTTCTGTAATGAAAACTGTATTTTTCCAAGTGAATAAATGACATGAAATAATATCTAGCTTGCGGCAGGGAAAAACAGACTGCAACTCAGTCTGCTGAATGTGTTTGTGTTTATAAAAGCCTTCTTCTCATTACTGTGTCTGGTTATTGTCTCTATTGATTTTAAATTATCATTCATTGACCATTAATTAACAACTACAGTATTTTGGTGTTGCTCTAAAATATTGAATCCAGTCCTTGTTACATGTATGCCTACTATGTATTATTGGCTTTCTTTTCTGCATCAGGAGCAGCAGTCTGTGAGTTTATCCACCAACAATCTGCAGTTTGCTTCACCTTGACTTTGATATATTGTTTTGCCGGGTCGGTTGGCGGTATCCCAGACTTTGATAAGGCAATCTGGGACTTCTGCTGTGACAAGCCTATTCCTGTAGGAAGAGTCAGGCTTTGCATTAATCGACCGTGTCCGTCACTTTCCGCCCATCTCAACTTGATGCGAAGGAGTCTTCTTTAACATTCAGCACAAACCCACACATTTATACACAGCTGTGCCTCCCAGTTGTTCTTGCATTAGTCATTGTGTCCTTTAGGTGTTACAGTTTGGTGATTAAAATGCTGAATTTAATTCCTCTCTTTGGGTAACACGGCGTATTCTATCACTGATTTTCTAGGGATGGCAATGTCAGGCTGAGATTTCTCACAGCTATTAGATGGATTATCATCACATTTTTTAACATTCAAGTACCCCTCAGGATTAACTGTAATAACTTTGGTGATACCTAAACTTTTTTTAGATCAAGACTTCACCTTTATTTTTTCAATAGTACATTGGTTTAAGACCAAATACCTGCAAAACTAATGATCAGTCTCAGCTACACCTTTTGTTTAGTGCTTATTAGCAAATGTTAACATATTATCACTCCCAATATAAGACAGTGAAGATGGTAAACACATGTGGTTAATGCCATGCACCCCAGTAGCTAAATGGTTAAGGGACATACCACATAACTGTGTCATCCTTGGTTCAAATCTGCCCCTTCTCTATCTCGTTAGTATTATATCGAATTAGGACAGTTCTGTTCACAGCTGTCACGCTTTGCTTGTGGCATGGCTATACGGAGGGCAATGTTGGTCTGTTGGTAAGCTGGTCTGTGCTACACTTTTGGACTGCAATGTCTCAACAACTAATTGTTGCCATCCTCTGACTTTCCCTCCACAGCCACCAGCAGGTTAAAATGTTCACTTATTCAGTGAAATAACTATAACTATGAGATGGCTGTATGACACTTCTAGTGACATGTTTGCATTGCAAAAAAATCTGTTTAAGATCACTTTACCTTGATGTCAGACATTCCTTTCCGATGGGGACTTGAAGCCATTGTATCCTCTCTCCAAAGCCAATTCTTTGACATCAGTTTCCCATTGGAAAAGAACGTTCTGATGCCAAGATTAAGTTAAAAAAAGAAAATATTCTAAATATAGTGTACTCTTACACCAATATTGACTTTCTTAGGTGTCTAAAATACATTTTTCTGCTGAGCAGTACATTTCTTAGCTTCCATGCTGGTACTCCTGTCTGCTTTTCCAAACTATGCTGAGCATGCAGCATGGGGGTATGCTGAGTGCCATCTACTGTAGGTACACTGACAACTTATGTCAATATATCAATGTGCTGTATCGGATGTCTTTCTTGTGGTTATGTTGCTTTATCTATGTATTTATGTGAGGCTGTGTGCAGACTTCGGCAACAAATTTCCTTGAAAGGACAATAAAGAATCTATCTTAACAGTGGAGCTCATTTAGATGAGCCTGCAGATTGCTATCTCTAGCCGTTGTGATCAATTTCTGATTATTATTAATATGAAAGCAGTGTCTGTATTTCTCTGTTAGCTCTCTTCTAAACTTGGGCCATGGAGTTTAAGGCGTAGGCCAGTGGGAGAGATTATAAGGTGTGAAGATAAGGCAGACATTTGAGATGTTCCCTTTGTAGATCACAGGCTAGATTTGGCTTTTCTCTCCAATTAATTTGTAGGAGGTGATAAATAGAGGCAAGAAATCGATACGAGCCTAAGCAACAGAGAAAAATGAAATAAGATTCACGAGAGGGAACCTTATCTGCGATCCGTTCTCACGCTCAACAACTATTCCCTAGAAATAAGGCGATTTAGAACAAATTTTTGCTTCATTCATTTATTCACAGATTGGAAAACAACCCTAAAATAACACTTTTTTATGGTTTGGTCCCTCAAGGCTCAATAGATTTGGATCAACAAAAGCAAAGTTGTTAAGAAAGCTCGTCTTTTTTTTTTCTTTGAGAAATTAAGCAGTTTACTAACAAGCAAGGAATACAGAAATACTTCTACTTTCAAAGAGATAAATCTCACAAAATCTCATCAGTTACAGCATCCTAGCATGATTCTTAAAAGTGGATTCCATAAAGTACAAAATCTCTAGTCATACCAATGTTTCGACTTCTGCCTTAAACAAATGAGCATCATCTATGATCATTTTGTACCGTTAAGTCTAAGAAAACATGAAGATTTGTACTAAAATGTTAACTCTCATGCAGACTTACACACAACTATGCATCAATGCATTTGACAGGCTACTGGTTAGTATACAAACACACAGTGTCCCCAGTTATACAGTATCTGTCTAAATCTAGTAAAGGACATTGATTTAGTCTAGCTCCTGTGGCTTTGTGCTTGTATACACAGCAAAGTTTAAATTTTGTACAAATGTACGGGTTTGAAATCAACCGTTATGGCCATTTTCTTTAAAATGTTGCGGTCGCTGTACTGTCGCTATCCCTACTGACTCAGCTCTGAGCTTCTGATCTGAGGGAAATTCGGCGGTCTCCCCCTCTCTCCAGACCTGTCAGAGTAGAGAGTAATTACTATCATCAGGGACGCATCACTTCCATCACAATTGAGAGGGGGATTTTATTTCCTTTCTGCTGATTAGCACTGTCATAAAAAGAATGTCATTTGATTGCAGAAAATTGTGCCAGAGCACATTGTGTTTATTCATGGTGACAGAATGGTTCAAAGTGTGTGTGTGTGTGCGTGTGCGTGTGTGTTAGTGTGTGTGTGAGAGGGGGGGGGGGGGGGCTACGTAAAAGAGAGGAGAGAGCAAAAATAATATAAAAAATCACTACCCTTCCTACTCCATATTTGAGTTCATCTCCTTTCATCTGAGCCATTGCTCTCCTAATGAGGAAAGCGGCTCCTGCCTCAGAGTCCACTTAGCCACAAAAGGAGACTCCTGTCACGCAGTGGAGAAAGATTTAATCTGGAGCATCATCATAACACCCAAACAAAGAGAGGAGGATAATGTTTTTCTCCTGATTTGCTATTCAGTCCTTTCAATGTACTGCATGGTAGCAGCCTTAAAGAATGAAAAAAAGGGAGGTGTGACGAAAGGCCGGAATCCTTCCTTTGTTATAATTAATATTCAACAACCTCTTGTGCAGTGGCTCCCCTCGCTGCACGTAGGAAAGCCCAACAGCACCTCTGAGAATACGATTTTATGAGTGAAACTGGGTTGCAATAAACCTACTGCCACCGCTCAGGATGTAAAAGCAGAGATCTGTGGGCAAAAAATTGATTTTCAAACATAATTCTGGCCATTACTTGCATTCTTTGCCCACAGGACGTAATCTGCTGATGGGGTTTTATCTGAATGGCAGTATCGGTTTGTTTTAGTCGCACAAAGGAAGCCAAATAAGCGAAAAAATTATAGCGGATTAACTACAAATAACATCTTTGTTCAGTCTGGTTTTGTAAGCCGACAGGAAGTGTAGTCCCCCCCCCCCCCCCAGGGGAGGCATCTACTGCACTGTCAACTTTCTCAGGAGAAGAAGAGGAAGAGGAGGGGGAAATCATGAAAGTCAGATGTGAACTGATAGAGCCTGTTCTGAGAGCCCCATGCACAAGGAAGCATGCCTTTCCTATAAATTCAATAAACACCGAACGTTTGTGAGGACAGTCGTTTTGTCTAATGGCTTTAAAGTAACTGCCCACCTCATGGCTGTAAACCCGTGCACAAGACAAGCGATTGTTCTCCCTGTTAGGACATAGGTCATGTCAGCGATGGCCAAAGTACTGAGAGTCATAGGTTATGGAGTTGTAAGTTACTGTCATATCTGTGACTGATAAAGAGTCTACATACCGGAGCGCTAGTGGCTGTCTAGTTCGCTAGTTCTGTCTGTTGGTGCAGAAGCTGTCGTGTTCAAACCTACCACGCTGTCAGTTTTCATTGTCATTTAAGCAATACAGATGTACAAAAATATATTACAACTCATTAAACTAATAAAAAATAAACAACACAGTTGTCACATAGCTAAGAAGCTTTTGCAGTCAGAACAACCAATGACCAGTAAGACACTGAGTGAGGAGAATAAAGGATATCTTCCTTTTCAAAAGAACACCTAATGGGAAAAACTTCTCTGGTCTTTGCTAACTGTGGTATTCACGTCCATGTATCTAAACCAGTGGTCCCCGACCTTATTTCGGCCACTTAAAATCAAGCAATGTCTACTTGTGACCCTTAATGACTTTACAGCACACGATTGGAGAAACAATGCACCAATCAGAGCTTTGTGGGCGGGATTTAAAAAATGGGGACGTCATCTTCCTACATAGCTAGTTTTGGCTACATCCATGAAAAATGAGGACAGAAAAATGGCCACAAAAATGGCCACAAGCAAGCAAGTAAGTCAGCTTATAGAAATGACAACTCTTCTATCGAATATCAACATATTTCATCAATCAATGAGAAACGTTAACATACATTTTTTTAAGTGGTGCTTAGAAGCACGACGTTAGTGGGACAGACATGTCCTTCACTACCAAAGCGGAATAAAATCACTTTAACTTTATGTAAAAGAAACATATTTTTTCTTTCTAATTAGTTCATTCATTCATTTAGAATCATTGCTCACTTCTCTTGGGGCCCTCATAGGTTGGGAACTACTGATCTAAACAACCAGTGTGAACAACTGAAGTATGCTTAATATAGCTTTGATAGATCAATTATGCTATTCTAAATTAGTTTGTAGCTCATGAATAGCGATTATACTACAAATTTTCTACTAATGCATGGTCATGGGACTAGCAGGGTAACCTGTGTCCAGATTCGAGCTTTCAGCTTGTCTAATAGCACCTGGTTTCACAGTGAATCAATGAGTACAGAGGCCATACTGGCCCTCAGCTTCACTTATTCATACTGGGGAGCAGAGACAAGAATGACAGCAGTAGAGATGGACACAGACTCACAGAAACACAAGGAAACAATTTTTACTAAAACCGTATGGTTTTTGATATGTTAGCTCTGTCATTATTTTGAATTGTATCTTTTTTTCAACAGTGAACCGTTAAAGGGCAACACTGAACAGCTTTGTTTCGTTTCAACAGGCGTGAAGAGAGATTGGCTGCCTTTCTAGGGGATCAACTGAATCTAAGATGAGTGTTTAATTATCCATTAATATGAAAGACACTTTTCATTGTGTGTTAATGGGTATGATCACACCATTCAAGCTGTATAGAGAGAGACATTTAAAGTGAGGCAAGACAAATCAAACAGAAAGAAAAAAGTGTGTGTCAGCAGGAGTGAGGTTGACGAGGAGGACGACTGGAGCCCTGCTACACTGGGCTGTGGTCCGGAGAAGCGTGTGTGGCTGTCACCGTCACACACTCAGTGGCTGTGTCCTTGATCCTGCGAAGGCCCATGTACAGCCTCTCATCCAGGTTAGCAGTCAGTTTGTCTGTGAGCTCTGCTGTGATGGTCTGCGGGCCGTAGCCCGAGGAGTCGGGCAGCTGAGGGGACGAGCGTTCGTCCGGGGGCTCGAGAGGGGGTCCAGATTGTTTGCTGTCCTCCTGAGGGTCATGGTGCTCACCCAGCCCTCCATCTTTCTCTGAGATAGAAGGATGAAGTGATGGTGGAGAAGAAGAGATGTGGTCCTCTGTGCCTCTGACAGTGACACCCTGCTCCCTGTCCTTGCCCCCATTACCAGTAGTGGTTTGCTCTACTTTTGGAGTGTCAGGGGTGCTACCGGTCCCCTCGCTGGTCTCCTCGTCAGGAGCACTGACGATACGAGGGAGCGTGCTGTGGTAGCTTGTGTCCAGTGGGTAGTTCACACTGTCACCCCTCCTTAGAGGGGTCCGGTGTCTGTCAAAAGAAGACTGCAAGTGTCTGACGCCGGGGTCGCTCCACTGTTTGTGCCGCTGCCACTGCTTGCGGAGGTGGATTCGGGACCGGTGCTTCCTTAGTGGCGACTCCTGCTGGTCAAACTGAGGGTCGTGGCGGAGAAACTCATGGAAGAGGGCGTCTGTCTTCTCATCTATGCTGTAGTCTCGCCGGTGCAGCGTTGGAGGTTGGGGTGAAGGCTGTGCAGACTCTCGAGGTGTGAGCATCTGACCATATGGAAACCAACTCAGTGAGCCAGCACCTGTTTCTATGGAAACTCCTCCAATGGCACCCAACAGCTCATCTTCCCGCTCCTCCTCAAAGAGATGAGACTCAAAGCTCTCACCGATAGTGCCGGTTCGCCCTGCGTTGGTAAAGTGGTGCCTTTTCTCGTGGGCCGTTCTGTCCTTCGGGCTTCCGCTGATGCTCCCGAACAGTCGCAGGTCTTCTGGACCACGAGATGGAGCCTCTATCGACGCATAGCCACTGTCCATCTGCAGCAATTTACGAGTCCCTGTCTCTCCGTCGCTGCCCCCTCGCTCTGATTCAGTGCTTTCCTGTTTTCTCTTTTTTCCCTCATTCCCACCCAACCTCTCATCCATATACATCAAAATGTCCTTGTCATCCTCTCCACCCTCTGCCTCATCTCCTAAATCCTGGGACGGATAGCTGGGAAGCCCTCCTCTTTCTGTTTCTGTGCGTCCGCCCAGTGAACAAATACTGTCAGCATCACTGCAGACAGAGTTCCTGTCATTGTTGCTGCTCTGGTCAGAGGCTGCATACTGTTCCAGTGTCGCGCGCAGGGACCAGATGTCTTTGTAAAGTGACTGGGGGTCCTGGTGATCTAGGGGGTCCAAAGGGTCTGCACCATCCCGTCTTGCCAGGGACAGTGCTTCGTCTTGGGGATCAGGGGATAGGCCAATCACCCCTGGTCCTCCATGGCTGCAGCTGGGCTCCACCATCACCTCTACCTCTACCCTGTAGTGTACACACAGGTGTGGAGAGATGAGATAAAATGAAAGAAAGGAGAAGAGGAGGGGAAGAAACACACAGACATGCAAAACAAGCGTTAGTGTCAGAGAATTGACCTAAATCACACATTCATCTGGGACATGGCTGTGTTCACAGTGCACAGAATGATTTGCAATGGCTGCTGTTGCATGTCCTTAAACTGAACTTAGCTGAATACTGATGCCATGTGTGCTCAAAAACTCCAGTCTCCTGCCTTTATCTCGGGACAGCAGGTTTAAAGAATCCATACTGTATGAAACACAACTTGGGTTTTATCAGTAGCAATAAACTGTCAAGGAGCACAGGGATCATCAAATTTCTTAACTCACGGCAGCTTCCAGGAAATTCCTTTTATTTTCAACAACAAACATCTGCAAACATACACAGGAAATACTGTTTAATTTAATATTCAGTGAAGGAAAATAAATGTTTATATAAGAGAATACTTTGGAAGATTGGTTATTATTGTTGCATAACCTAATATTGGGCAAAATCTGCATTGCTATAATTGAAAACTTAAAATAACAAAAGTGCAGTGACCCCTGCACTTCTGCGGACATCATGACATTATCAGACCATGTCAGCGATGGAATGGTTTCCTATGTCAGATATAAACCCTCCTTCCCGATTCTCCACACCACTCTTTTAAAAAAAAGTGCACTCTGGGAATCCCCTACATCTGGCTTCAAATCGTGAAATTGGTTTTGAAAGAACTCTTGTTTATAACTCTGTAAATCAGTGTGGTTAGGGAGTATTTACAGTGACACAGCATGGTGTGTTTTAATCTAATTAAATGGCATAGCAAAACAATTAGTCTAAAAAAGACAAGAAGACAGTTTATATAATGTCCTATATTTTTCAATGAATTACAGTCAGAGTTTCTTGACTATGACTTTTCTTTTTAGATTGTCCTGTATCCCAATTTCCTTGCAATGGTGGTTTCACACTGTTTATAAAAGCATACAGTTATGTTAGGGCAAAGTGGTGAAGAATTGGGACTTAGAGTCGTATCCTACTGTATATCATTACCATACTCTAGCTACAGTAAAGAAATGAATGCAAGGCAGCAAAGCAGTGGACGGGATGAATGGCAAGGGAATTAAAGATACCTGCCGAGGGAGGGGGGTGGTGTGGAAGGGGGTGAGAGGAGGCGTGCGGTGGGCTGGCTGGGACAGTAGGTGACGTCCTGGGTGCGGGCGATGTACTGGATGAGGTCTATGTGGTGCGCGTCGTTGTCGTCCTGGTCCATGCTCTCGCTGGCGGCCCGCTGTCGCTGGAACTGTCTCCTCTTTGGAGAGCCTGGCGAGTGATGCCCAACATGGGGAAAGAGCAGTGAGTTGTACAAGTTGCGCAAAGTGCCGGCGGGAGTGAAGTGACACATAATTCAGGAGAAAGCTTCCATCAACTGTTGAGGTTTCTGATGGGATTTTGTGATCTTTTTCTGGTCCCTTGCTATGATATAAGGACTGAGCCTGGGATCGGGGGATCGGCAGGGAGGATTTACTCAGGGGCTCAAATTGACTTGGAACGACCAAACTCTACGTCATTGAGCCATCTGTCTTGTACATGTGTGTGTCTGTGTATATATCCGACTCTTAGCAGGCAAAGGCATATCACAGTTGGCTGCTGGAGCCCCCTGCTTAACTGTTGTCTGTTTACCACCAGAGAATATTGCCAAAAATACTAGACACACAAACAAATGAAAGAAAAAGTACACCTAAGAAAGAAATCGCCAACAGTATAACTTTATTTTCTCAGATTTCTACAAAGAACCACAAAAAAAGTGTTGCACTTCCCTGCTGCATTAGAACAGATCGTTTCTAAAAACAATATAATAGAAATGTACTTATGTACTTAATGTTACACCATCAAGGATCCATTACCTCTGGTGTCCAGACTCGAGGCTCTCTGGCTGCTGTCCAGCTTCCATTTCTTGATCTTGAAGTAGGGACTGGCCCCCTCCAGACTAGCATGGCGCCGCAGTTTAGTGAAGAACTGCAGCATGGGCCCCTGGCTTCCTGCACCGCCGCGGGCAGAAGGGGAACCGCTCCCCACCGCGGCCCCTTCCCCAACACTGACACTGCTGCCTCTGCCCTGGCCTATCATCTCGATCTGAGCAGAGAGAGAAACATGGGTCAGAAAGAAAACCTGCCAAGACTAGTGGTAGTGGTGTGTGCGTAAACCCTTCTGACAATGATGTTCCACATGGACTTCCTTGTTTACCCATCAACCATCACTCATGTTGGTCCTCCCTCAGGCTCCATGACCCTCTCATGTCAGGACGGATGACTCACCGGTTGACTGGCTGGCTGGTTGGTGTACTGAGAGACTATCTTAAGAAAATTCATCACTCTACAAATAATTAACTCAACAAACCTGAGCTCTTACAGGTCATTTGTATGCGCTCTCAGTACTTGTGAGATATTTGCACTTGTGTTTTTTAAAAGTGCTGCTTTTCAGCAAGAAAATCACAAACAACTGACAGTGTGACATGTCAAACTTAAGAATTTCTTCATCATAATTGTGACTAATAGTCATCGCTTGATGTTAAATATTGTATATTTTACAGTAGTTGGAGGTAACTTACAGAGCTTGGCTCTTTAGTGCTGAGAGCAATAGTGTTCTCACTGAAGCTGGTGTCCACCACAGAGTTGAGAGCATCTCCAGGGAGGGCACAGCTAGGATTGACACTCAGGCTGGTCAATGCTGTTTGTGGTAGGGGGCACAGCATCGGCTGAAAGGAAACATACATGAAAAATTACACTTTTATCCTTCCTGAATCAATTGTTGAACATGTCTGTTCTCTTTTGATTAATCCAATTATTCAGAGTTGCGCAACTACAGTAAGTAACGCAGATCAACTTCCAAAGTTTGTTTTCATGTTAGGGTAACATCTCTGAATGAAAATCAAGTCCACACTCCCTCTCTAACCGTCAGCCCAGCATTGTGATTGTATAGCCTCACCTAAATGGGAAATCAATGCGCACAGCCTGTTGCAATGAGCAGGCAGAGAGCTCCCCGATTCCTGTGTTTGGGGACATTAGGTTGATACATTTTCTTGCCCTGACCCAAGTAATTGATGTTCTAATTGGCCCCAGTCAAGGCTAATGATGCATCAAGAGTAATAACAGGTTAAAGGCTGTCACCTGGAAGATGGAAAGTGCTGACTTAGTGACAGGGCGTGTTGTCATGGTGATGCTGTTCTCGGCCGAGTCGCACTCGTGGATAGTGACTATCTTGAGTGCCGGGGGAGGGATGTGGAGGTGTGTGAGCCGGGCGTTCTTCAGGTGGTGAAAGTCGCCCTCGGTCAGAGTGTACCTGGGGAAAACAACATGCAGTTCAATAAAAAGCCATTAAATCCTTGCAAGATGGAACGTGACTTGTAAGTTATAAATCATAATGCTTATCCATGCAAAAGAGACAAACAGCCATGGGAAATATCTGACTTCAAACCCATCAGAGTCTACTCAGGATTCTGCATTTAGCCCCACAGAATAATTCTTTTGATGGATTTGCATATTAGGCCCAGGGCTTTAAGAGAAAAGTAGGGCAGGGAAGTAAGAAAGGGTGAGAGCTCTTTGTGTCCACCGCAAACATAATGAATTCTGAATCAATGCTTTACCTGAAACTAACATACAAGAGAGATGGACACAGTAAAATATGTACATCCTTTGATGTTAGAAAGGAGGAACACCCCCCCCCCCCTTTATGAACAATAATGCGAGTTGAACACTAAACAAAAAGCATAGAGGTTTGCAAATGTGCGCTTGTGTGTATGTGTTGCATTTCTGACCTGCGCCCCTTCTCCTGGGCCTTCTTGCCGTGATCGAAGAGTGCAGCCTCATTGAAGGAGACACGGCGGCCGGTGGTGCCCGTGGAGAGGAAGCGCTCAGTCTCTTGGTCGTGAGAGCTGGCCATTGACAGGCACTCTGACTCATCCACCCTGATGGTGATTTCTGGAGATGCAAAAGGAAGGAGACAGAGGAGGCAGACAGATAGGTAGAGCGAGAGGCGATGGCAAAGAAAGATAGAAGAAAGTTTGAGTTTATTTTTTTTGTTTCATTGTAACTCCTGACAATAGCACAATGTTGGTCTGTTTGGCCAGATTAAAATACGTCAACAACATTCATGGTCCCCAGAAGATGAGGCCTAACTGTGATGATCTCCTGAACTCCATCATTCAGTGTCATTTTCACTCATCAGTAAAATATCTCAACATCTAAATAATGGACTGGCTAAAATGTTAACTTGTCAGTTACTTTGGTTTGTAACCAAATATTCACATTACATGCCATTTAGCTAAATTTAGCATCTTAACACTCTAAACTAAGATGGTGGACATACTTGCTCAACATTAGCATGTTAGCATCATCACTGTGAGCATGTTAGAACACTGACATTAGCTATAAAGTCTTGTTTTCTCACATTTTGTGTCTGCCCTTTGGTCCACGTAACAGGTGATGTTTCATCTAATAAGTAATTGGATTACTATAGCTCCAGCATAGCTCTGTTGTTAGTGTGGGAGTCCTGGTGGCCTAGGGGTTCATGGCCCCAACAGTTCAGGTCTACCCTAGGACCTTAGTTGCATCTCTATCCATTCATCTCCTGTTATCCTTCTACTGTCAGCTATGTAATAATGGCATAAAATACTCCCAAAATGATTTTAGTCAACCTATTTCTGCTATACTGTATATTTCACTGACTGGATAACTGAAGTGAAGCATCTCATGTTCAGACAAAAAACTGCTGACTCAAAAACTAAACAGAAAGCCTTACAAAAGCAGTTTGGTGCCTAACTGATGCTTCCTTTAATAAATCATTTTCATTGGAGATAGAGTGCAACCACTGGTCCCAAAATGTCAAAATGTGTTCCAGGAATGGCACAGCTACTTAAACTAATTGGGTCGAGATCACAATATTTTAATGGAATAGACATTACACGTTTGTGCTGACGCGATCAAAATATCCCTGCTTCCATCAACCCAATCCCTCCATCCCCCAGCCTGCCTGTCTCCATTACTCCTCCCTCTCTCACTTACTTACTTGCCTCTTTTATCTGTTCCCTTATCCCTCCCTCCTTACATTTCCTCCTCTTTGTCTATTTTTCTCTTACCATGGGTGGGTTGAGCCTTCTCCACGTAGGTGGTGTTGGTTTTCTCAGGGTCATCGTTGGCCCTGGGGCACACAGAAACATTCAGATCAATGCTGTGACATGATTACCCCTGAAGTCTGTCTTTCATCTGTCAAACCCTACTGATGTGGGCATCCACACAGGCGACCACAGCACAAGGCTTCATGATCAGCTGTGGTACTATTCAGGTACTGTTCAGCGTGAGTTTAAATACACACACAGATGTAAAAATCCAGCTATAAGACAACTGTGAGGACCATAGGACTGAATGTCCACTAGGATGTTTGTTTAAATGGCTGTCTGCCTAGCTGTATAATCAATGAGGGCCTAAATCATTGCCAGTAACTTGATAACCTTCAGGGCCAGGGGACCTCTTGAACTGATAAAGCATGGTGCTTTATTGGATTGCATTGGTTTCCACTCATCTTTAAGGGCACAGAGAAAATACACAATAAAGGTCATATTGTTTGTTCTTTTGGTATATTTTGTCTTTAAACCTTTCAATTTCAACATCTTTAACTGCTGCTGATCCTCCAGCTAAGCTTCTTTAATCCCATGGCCAAAATGTACTTTATGAGGCAAAAAAGAGAAACTGAAACTCTTCCCTGTCATTTCTCTCCGTGTGATTTCTTTGTGCACAGCTGCGTTTCCTGTGTGTGTTTGTGTGAGTGTGAAGCGACTTGAGGGATTTCTCCATCCACCCCGATCTGTGCTTCTTCTTGTCTTTCATTTCCTCTGTGGCTCCTGCTTCCCAATACTGTGTGTGTGTGTGTGTGTGTGTGTGTGTGTGTGTGTGTGTGTGTTCTCTGTGTGCACAGGGGGCTGGGTTGAGACGCGAGATTAATCACAGCCGATGGCTGCTATGAAATCTCATTACACTCATCATTTGTACCAGTCTGCCCAATTCTCCTCTGCTCTCCCCCGGCATGCCTCTCCTTTTCATGGCTCAGCCTCTGTGCCCTCTGTTTATCTGCATCTAGTCATTGTGCTCTCATATATTCAAGTGTACTTGATGATGCGTGCTGCTGTAGAGAGGGACAAAGTGTCCCGAGGGTAGCCATGTTACTTCTGAATAAACACAGATGAATCACGTTTGTTAATGGAATCATACTCACTGGGTGGAGAAAACTGGACGATTCCACGGGAAGTAGTTAGCTTCATTTGTAAATGCGATGAGCTTTACCTATTATGTAAGTGTATACACATTCAACATAAGTACCAGCCTGTCACTAAATAGTAGTTGCATGTGAGCTCAGGAAGAGTAGTCTCCGTCTGTCAACAGATTGTGTGTACTCGTGTGCAGACGTGTGCTTTCGTGCAACACAGTAAAAGCACCACCTGTACCTGGATCTGCAAACTAAACTGAACCTTTGTGAAGCAAAGAGTCTTCAGTTTTTGTTGAACCTGCGTAGGAGTGGTGTTGATTTAAGGATGTAAAGTTTGGTGTTATTGTGTTGGACTGCATCAGAGGAGGTTTTGAGGGATTATATAACAGGGACACCAGGCTAAAATTTAATGTATTATAATGAAAACCAATACAACACGGGCGCATTCTGTCACCAGAGGGTTAACTGAACAACTCTGTGGCACAGTGTCAACAAAAAGTGAACATCATAAAGTTATCATGTATTACAGCTCTTATTAAACTGTGCAGCTGCTGCTTTCATTAAGATGTCTTATATTAGGTCCATACTGTTGGTTCCTTACAGTGTTCTGGAGTTTAATCTTATACTGCTAAACAGTGGATGAGGGTGTTGAACTGCTACATGTAATGCGTAAATTTGCATCGTACCTGGCACAGAGTTTCCCTCCTCGACAGCCGCGGCGGCAAACAATGAGGAAGATGGAGACGAAGATCAGCGCTCCTACCAGGAAGATGGAGAGGATCACCAGGAGGAGCACATAGCCATCTTGCTGCTCCTCAGCCACGAATGGGATCTCCTGAGGATGGATAGATGGATAGATAGATAGATAGATAGATAAGGATAAGATAGATAGATAGAATAATGATAGATAGATAGATAGATAGATAGGATAGATAAGATACGATCAGATAGATAGATAGATGGACAGATAGATTGATTGATTGATTGACTGAGATACAGAGACGTACCATCAGTATGTCATTCATGTAAGCAGATAAATGACACATGAACTGATTTGGCTACCTTGACAACCTTTGACTACCTTACTGTGCAGCTGTTTTACTTTTCCAGTAACACCATGCAGCTTAAAAAAAATTGATTTAGCCCCACTGGCTGGTAGGCCTTCATAATGTGAATCTATAAATGCAACAGTACAATTAATCAATAAATACCAGGGCTATTAACCTGTCTACAGTGTACCTTAGCTATGGGAAAGCTCTCAAAGGCAGGACTGCAGCTGGGATAATGAACCACACAAGGAGCACTGGTATAGACCCCATAGTACCTTAGGTCCTTTAAACAACAATACTCAGTTAGTTTTGTTAGGATAAAAGTTCTTCCATAAGCTTGCACGAAAAGCAGATTGAAAGTTACTACTGACAATAAACCTGTAAAATAAACTGTATGTCTTTTGCTGCAAAAGTATGATCTGCTACCTCACAAATAAATATTGTTGATATTAAGTCTGTACATAGCATTCATCACAACATTTGCATTACTTTGAGTCCACATTTATTCCTTTAAAAAGTGTGTAACATTTCTTCTGTTGGCAGAAATGGAATATAATAAAAAATTCATTGGTTTTTTCATTAGTGGTAATAATCACATGAAAAATAAGAACTGCTTTGCGATTTTTTGTGACCTTAACCGAATGAGCTGTTTTTTCACTACAGAGGGGAGCGGTTGATGATGATATGTTGAACTCCATGTTTTCCTACAGTAGCCCCAGAATGGACAGACTAAACACTTCTCATTTGTTTTTTCTGAGTTTCATGGCCATGTCTTTTTCTCCTTCATGCTTGGAATGGGAAAGATTGAGGTGAGGGGGTTGCAATCTGCAACTACAACCACTAGATGCCACTAAACCCCTACTCCCTGGTTCTTTTGTAGATTACATACCAACTGAATACTGCTCGCCTTCCCGAGCGTGTAGGAGAAACTATAGTGGCCATGAAACCTATAAAAATATGAAATATGTGAAAAGCCCTATCTAGGCCAGTGTGGTAGTTTGTCCGTTTCTGTGCTACTGTAGAAACATGGCAGTTCAAACATGGTGGAACTCCGTAGAAGAGGACCCCCTCAAACATCTGTAGATAAAGACAGCTCATTCTAAGGTAACAGAAACATATCGATAATACACTAATTAAAACAAACCGATACATATTATATTCCATTTCTGCCAAAAGAGCCTCCTAAATGTTTCACACTGGACCAGTTTAGTGGGATAACATTTTACTGTAGAAACCTGATTTATTAGGACAAAGATCAGTGAATGATTTTTATAATAAAAAAATAAATAAAATGGTCAAATAAATTCAGAATATAATACATGAATAATTATATATATGTATTTCAGTTTCTTCTGCCTTCTCAGTAATTATTTCATGTTTTTATAAACACATCTATTCTCCCTCAACTGTATAAATACTTTATTTCTGAATTTCCTTTACTTTGTCATTTTTTCCATCAAAAATAAAAAATAAGAGTTTTGCTTGTTTATCTAATTTTAACGGCAAACATGCCTTTCCCCAGTAGGTACCCACGTAGGCTACAGAAGAGGGATTGAAATGGTATAAATAAAAATGATAGTTAGCAAACATGAGTGGGAAACTAAAGAACTACAGCAGGCAGTAGCACTGCAGTTACACAGACTTTCGATACATCACAAAGACGATCTTATAGGTGGAGTTTTATGCTGACCTCCACCCTGGGGAAATGAGAGCGCACAGCAAGTGTTAACGAGCGCTATAGTTTGACGTCACATGGTAATTTCTCTGCAAGGGGAAATTAAAGCTGAGATTAGATCAGAGATTTAATTATTTCAGGTCCAGGTCAGGATGTTCTCTATTAGCCAGTCTATCGGCCAGGAGAGAATATGAGGGAAAGTATGGTTCTGGTGGACACGCACACACACACAAACACACACACACACACAGGAAGTTTGAGAATAAGCCAGTGGCGAAAGGCAGGCTTACTGTGGAGTTTTCTGGTAGGATGGTCCAGACGGTAGACTCATTGCTCATGGTCCAGGCAAACTAGAGAGTCCCCCTGAGAGATAACACATGAGCACAGACACACACAGAGGAAATGACTGTCACTGATGCTGTTCATCCAAACACAAAGAGAGCGTTTACATGCACACAAGAATGATGGTTTTTAGTCTTGTGCTGTTTTCAGTTTCAGGATAAGGTGTTTACATGGAATCTGGTTATTCATATCTCTGTATACACGATCATAACAGTATCCACCTTTCTGATTGTCTGAGTGTGTCTTGATTTTTCACCATCTCGGCCACTACGTTCTGTACCAGCAATGAAAGTTTCAGAACCTAGATGAGGTGTTTACACGCCACACTATCCTGGTTTTAATTGAAGTACTTCAGGTAGCATTTCCAGGTTTCTGAAACCAGAATAAGCTGTTTACTTGGGCGAATTATAGCCAGGATACTCCAAAAACCCGAACATAACCAGGATATTAGTGAGCAAGCAAACACACTCAAAGTCATCCACCAAATATGCTGCATTTTATCTGTGTTATTAAATCCAGACGCACTGTGCAAGTGAACAGAAGCAAAACTTCTGTAGAGTAAAGAGTGCTTTTGCAGTCACTTATTGATGACTGAGGTCTAATAACATAGCAAGAAAACATTTATATCGCACTGTTTAATGAGACAGAAGATGCCCGTTGCAACAGAAAGACCTTGTTGCATCTCTAACAGCCATGAAAGACTGCGAGACGAAGCAGAAACCAAATGTGCGCGTGCGTGTGCGTGTGTGTAAAGCATGTGCTGGTACGTATGCCTCCAATCCCACAGAAGATGCAAATGCTAGCATCTCGACTGCAAATCATCACCCATAATTCCATATCAGCCTGAAGACTCTCCATCTACCTCCCACACAGAAAAGAGAGAAAGAGAGAGCTCTTACTTAAACACTGGCTCCAGCAGCTGAGTTCCACTACCGCTGCTGCTATGCGTTTGCTCTTACAGATCATAGCCATTAATACTGCTACTGCTGCACCAAACGCCCACTCACACACCACACACACACACACACACACACACACACACACCCTGGATAGATCTACTCACCCAGCAGGGTAGAAGCAACATGCCAGCAGCACTCAGTACTCCTTGCCTGCCTGCCAGTCACTGCAGCACTCAACTTCGGCACCACAACCTGTAAGCTACTGCTGAGCTCTTTGCTGCCAGCCTGTCTAACTCCCTGCATCTACCATCCAAGCATGAAAACTGTTACGGGAAACACACATCAGGCGGTGACCACAATGCTTTCCTTTGCAGTACTGTACCACATCCTGCTTTCTACCATCCCAGTGTCTTACCCTGATGGAGGGCAGTGCGCAGCAGCAGCTCTGGATGTGAGAGTGTGTGTGTGTGTGAGTGTGTGTGTCGGGCTGTTGCTCAGGAGTCTCCTCCTCAGCTCCCTTGCTGCATCCTCAGCTACCTCAGCCCACCCAGCCGACTGAGCCTGAGCAGCAGTGATTCCCCTCAGGGCTGGCCCACTGGCCTCGGAGCAACGGGACGGCGGTGCTGCATGGCTGAAAAAAACAAAAACAAACATACAAAAGAAGGACTGGTTAATTATTCAGCTTGTGTACATAAGTTAGACACCACATGAGCATTTAACAAATGCACATCAGAGCTTGCTGACAGGCTTCCCTTTGCAGCCCCTGTTTGTGGTGATGATGAGAGAAAGATCTAACAACAGTAAGAAAGCTAAAAGATGTGTATTCATTAAATGCAGTAATACAGTTTAATTACAGATAACAGGTAGTATAATTACAGTTGTCTGCTTTCCCTCTGCTGTTAGGCTTTAGGAAATGTAAGGACAAGTAAACCTATTATAATAAAAGTAAGCTATGTAATCAATCTAGCTTTGTACTTTATTGAGAATTGCTTACTTCTATGGTGTTGCAAACCCTGATGATTGCTCTATTGATTGGTTGACTGAGCAGATGGTAAGACACGGGTGTCCCAGCAATGGCATATCCCGCCATGCTTAACAAAATTTCGGTCTACACCAGCGACATTCCCTCTTATTATACAGTGGATCCTTTTCCTCTCGAGCAGCCTTTAATATGTCGTGCCATAACTACCACATCCACCTCCTAACCCCAGAACAAATTATTACTGTAATGGTTCATTTTAGACCGTGTTTAAAATTAGAAACTGTTGCACAAAAGAAAGCATCCAGTTTCTTATTGCTCGCTACCGCAATATTATTTCCCCGGAACCAAATGAATGAGCTCCGATCGACTCTGGCAGCTGTTTCCTTACGGAGCATCAGCTGATAAAATCTTCAGCAAGGAAACAAAAAAACAAAAACAAAAAACAAATCGCATCGCATTACGCAATGAAATGCAGCCGATAGTAAACTTTAAAACTGGATGAAAAGCAGGCACACTCCGTTAATAAATATGCCATCTAGATATCTCACAGGCGGCTGTGTTTTTTTTTTTTTTATCAGTCCGGTGACACCGACAGAGAAGGTAATGTTCAAGCTCACGATTTGAATTGGCTGCACAAACAACAAGACGAGCGGGGCAGAGCGACGGTAGCACTCACCTACTCAACTAGCCTGGTCCACGGAGGGGTGGAGGGGCAAAGCCAATACCGCGAAACTCTTCCGTGGACACTTTAATGTGGATTTTAAAGCTAAAAGTATTTATGAATGAAACCCCACTGTTTAAGACACGCCCACCACCCAGTCAGAGGCGCACCACGTGACGCAAAGAGTGAGGTAAAGCGGAGTGATTGAAGGGTTTCTTTAAATTAGCCTGATGCTGTTCACAGACTTACACAGACAGTGTGTCGGTGAATGAAAACCGCGGTTCCCTATTTTCATGTGCGCGTTTGCAGCTGTGAGACATTTGTTTTGTGCTTTTTACTTCTTTTACTGATTTATTTTACATTAGTTAGTTGCAGTCACTCGCAACAGATGTGGGGTGTTGAAGCAGCACAGCTTCAGAAGTGTGTGTGTTTGTATGTATGTGTGTGTGTATGTGTGTGTATGTGTGTGTGTAGGGGTCTTAGCGCCATACAACTGGCATACATAAGAGCCACAAAAACTTGGTCCCAAGCCAGACAAGTGGAGTCCCATCTATTGTGGGGCTATGTAGCATACGGCAAAGGGTTTTGGCGCCATCTACTGGCGGCGCATGCTCAGTATAGCAGTAGGTAATGTGGGGAATGAACGTTTCCCTACTACTCTTCCCTAAATGTTTCCCTTTGTAAACCTCTATTAATGACTAGCTAGTGTCTGAAGCTACGTTTCAGTGGATACACAATTATAATACTTACTAATGTTGCTAACAAGATGAATAAATGACAAATGACCGCACAAAGTCACAAGCAAACCACAATTATCAGTTACTCTACGTTGACTGCGTCTCTGTCTTAAAGACTACACTACCCTGCATCCTTTGCACCGCCGTAAAGCCTTATGGGTAGGTTACCAACGTCCTTGTCCTACCCAAGCGCACACTGACTGCCTTCGCGCAAGGGCTCGAGGATCTCTGTCATTCACTTGTACTTGAATAAAATCTGATTTTCAGACATGATGGCAGCCAGATTTCTCCGCCGGGCTCTCCCTGTGCTCAGGCAGACTCGCTCCTACGCCGAGGCCGCCACCAGCGGCCCGCAGATGTCCTTCACTTTCGCCTCCCCGACGCAGGTAACGGTGGCTAACGTTAACGCTATGGCGAGGCTTCTCGGGCCCAGCTAACTTAGCTGCTCGGCTAACTTCATTTCTTGTTGAAGTGCAGAAGGGTCATTCAGCAGCTGTGTACTAATGCATGCGTTTGTTATCATTGCTACACATGACGCTGTAGTTAAAGCACGCATGTAGTTCAGATATATCGTTGTATCGTTGCACTGTCAGTGTATAGCCTATAGCTAACTAGCGGTGGCCAACCTAACTGTCATTCACTGTCTTTGACCGGCAGTGTGCCAAAGTAGCGTTGCTCTTTCCCACTTCATTAACTTTAAAGTACAGTTTATGAGCTTGTGTTTTTAAACGTGTGTTGTTAGCCTAAGTTTGGATCCATTTAGCTCAGCCAGAGTGAGTTATATGTAGAGCTCTCTAACCTTGAGGTTTATGTCAGTGGGTAGAGCTCGTCCTACAAACGTGTTTTTAATAAATTCAGTCTACTGGTCCTCCAGATATAAGAGTCTAGCTCCACACGGTGCTGCACGTCTACCTCACACTGTGCTGCAGAACTGATGCATGTAATCCAACCATAAACAAATATAGATTAGCATTAAAAACCTATGCATCATGTTGCATAAAAAACATGTAACATACATGTGTTAGACCATACTGTAATGGCCATTGATAGCACTCTGCTCTACTCCAGATGGTACAGTTCTGCAGCTGCATCTTTGTTCAGTCCTCACCATTCGTTGACGTTTAACTGTTGCAGGACAATCAGTGAATGTATCTCGCCATGTCCTGTCTCCACTCTCTAGGTGTTTTTCAACGGGGCCAGTGTGAAACAGGTCGACGTGCCCACACTTACTGGTGCGTTCGGTATCCTCCCTGCCCACGTACCCACCCTGCAGGTGCTCAGGCCCGGCGTTGTCACAGTCTTCGGTGATGACGGTTCCGCTGTCAAATACTTCGGTAAGCTGTGTTTGACCTTGGGTCAGGCCTGTGACACTTAAGGGCCTCCACATCATTTTCCTGTGGTTCATATGAATGATGACTTCCTAAGTGTATGCTTTGTCGTGTGTTTGCTTTTTCCCCAATGTGCCTGTCCGTTCAAAGCATTCAAATATTAATATCTGCTCTGACTAGTCATTTAAGAGATTAGGGATCTCCGTTTACGTCTGGGGACACTGGTGTACATCTTGTGTATAAAACAAGACTAGGGCAGCACTACCATTGAACTTTTTAACATTGCCACATGGACGTTTCGGAGCCCCTTCTTCAGTGTGTATTCTGGCAGTGCATCTTGTGCACCAATTTTCTCCGCCCCTTTTTAGGTTAACATTGTTGATATGATACGTGCGTTTTTCTATCCAAATGCTGAGTTAAGTTATTTGCAGTTGATTTTGCTAGGAGGTATCTCTGTTGTCCACCTGGATTTGACAGCGTGTCTCTGTCAGACTGAGCTCTGCTTAGGCAATACTAACAAAATAATATGTATCTTTGTTAAAGTATTAACAGATTTAGTGGATGAAGCTTAGAATGTAGCTGAATACCCAGGTGTCATGTTTCAGCTATTTATACAAATGAATGAAACCCTTGCTGAGAAAATACATTGTAGAACAACAAGCCCTAGAGTGAAGCAGAAGGTCCTGGCTTTATGCTCAGGGTGTGTGCAGGGTCGTTAAAAAAAGTCTAGAATCCAATCAAGGTCTTAAATTGCATTTATAATGGTCTAAAAAGGTATTAAACGTAACCTTTTGAAATCTGCAGAAACTCTGTATAATGCACACCACTGGTCAGGAAGACTGAATGTTTGCATGGTTAGTTACACTGTTGTGTGTGTGTGTGTGTGTGTGTGTGTCCGCAGTGAGCAGTGGGTCAGTAACAGTCAACGCTGATTCTTCAGTGCAGCTGCTGGCTGAGGAGGCTGTTCCTTTGGACCAGCTGGACGTTGCTGTGAGTATAATGTCAACCGTACTCCATTCACATAGATGCTAGAGCGGTATCCGCACTCATTTTGGGCTGTATGACCCTTTATATATGATGAGAGAATAGGTGTATTTTACAAAACAGTTTACACTAACACAGTTATCATCCGTTGGATATGTGTATTAAGCGTGGGCGGGCAATGTTGCAAACAATCTGGTGACATTGGATTCATTCAGTGTGATGAAATTAGTACATTTTTCAGGTATTTTATTCACATTAGTCAAAAACCTATATTTATATCTGTTATCTACAAATACTTTCTCAATTTAGATTCAAGATTTTAACTGTCAAGTTAAATTAATTGATCAATATCATAATAAAAAATTCTGCATCCCATAATAGATATTTTCCACATCTTCCAACCATACCTGCACTGTGGCTTTTTCTTACATGGAGGAGCTTATAGAGCTGTATACATCTCTGTCAAAGAAATGCATGTAATGAAAGGTCTGACTGTCATGTAGTGATAAAAGGTTTACACCGTAGGGCTGGGTGAAGGCAGTTCAGTCTAATATGAAATGTCATTGTGTGGTGCATTGTTTAAACACGAAGGAATAGCTTGAGTCATCCCATAATATATTTCTGTGTACAGGCAAGTAGTCATCAAAACGAAAACGGGTATATTTAATAACATGCCGCACTATGTACAAAAACGTCACAATGAAAGAACGCCAGTCACTGGTGTGTGGTTATTTACAGGAAAGTAGAGGGCACAATGACACGAGCAATGGTAAAAAAAATGAATTCAACTCAAAAACAAACACCTTTTTGACACAGCGTCAACAGACTGAACATAAGTTTCACAGAAGTTCCATTTAATGCAGAGGTAATTGATTGGATTGTGTTATCTTATACAGGTGATCTTGTAATTTGCCTTCAACGACCCTCTATTTACTTTAGTGATATGAACTAATACTGGTATTGATCACCTTATTATAAACTGTGCCATGAGTGATGATGATCTGATGCAATATATTTTTAATGAGGAACCTTTTTTTAAATGCTGCGATCGATATGTGTGGCATTTAATGAGAAGGAGCACAGCCTTTGAACTTAAGGACTGAGATTCAAAGTATCACAAAACAAACAAGTCATGTAAAGTTATTGATACCGTTAAGGGCGTTTTATGAACTGTGCATTCCAGTTTTATTAATTTAAGTAATTTCCCCACGGGGATTATTAAAGTATTTCTGATTCTGATTCTGATTCTGATTAAGCAATATTATCAGTACAATACCAGTTTTTGTTGCCTTTGGTCCATTGCATTTAAATGTTTAGAGCTTTCAGGGCCTGGTTGTTATTTCTACATTTGTTTTATTAAAAAAGGAAAAAAAATAGAACAAGGCTGCACTCAGATTCTTCAAAGCCAGCAGGGACCGAGCAGCAATTCTCCTTATACCTGAGGTGTCCTTTACGGTTTTTTAATCCTGAGCAGCTCTATTGTTGTGCAGTTGGCTCTGAACTTTGAAGTGGGCAAACAATTACCTGAATTTCTCCTTTGATATTATTATAATGGTGTGTGCTTCCATTCCATTTACACCCCCAGGGTTCGGTCTTCTTCTTTATCACTTGTAAATGTGCGTATCTTCCCTTCAGTGTACATGTGAAGTACGTTTTTATCTCAAACTGTACAGAGAAGTTTTGAAACATCCCCTTTTTATTTAATCACGCTACACACATGTATTTTTGTTGCCGTTTCTAAAATGAGACTTCTGCATTTCCACATGTGGAACATTATAAATAAATGATTGGTGGTTCTGTACCACTCAGCATTGAGAAATGATCTCTTCACAATGTCGGTCTAGATCGTGTCAGTCACCCTTGGATGGATCTTTTATGTTTTAATGAGATTTCTGTGATGAGTGTCCATATCCAGTTGGTTGAGGCGTGCGTAATTACTGATTGTTCACCCTGGTTTGTGACCCAGCAGGGACATGATCTTTGACAGCGGAGACTATTCTTTGAACTTGATTTTTTTTTTCTTCCCTCCCTCCATTTTGATCCTCTGTGCTGATGAGCACCTCCCAGCTGATGATTACCCATCTGATCAGTGTTGCATTAGGACTTGAATGTTGAGTCCTT